CTTCCGGTCGCGGATTCATGGTCGTCGAGTCCGAAACGAGCACGGATGATTCGGTGGTCGATGGACCTTGCATCGCTTTAAAGTAGTTCCAGAAAAGCTGACTGTAACTGATCGTCGTCGGTTGATCATCAACTTGACGAAACGAAGCCGTCGCGGTCGGAGCGACGTAACGCCAGGTCGTTTGGTCGACGGAATACGTTCGCGAATTCAAGGGATTCGTTAAAAAACCATAGGAATTTGCGAGTATTTTATTATCAGTCAAACTTGTTTCGTCAGATGAAATCGCGGTTGTCTCGTAAGTCTCACGATAGAGATTCTTTTTCTTTTGCCGTTGTAGCCTGGGCGATTGCTTCGTTTCTTTATTTACAGTATCGTCTTTTTTGTTCCACAATTTAGATTTTCTCTCCTTTATCTTATCGGTTTTGTTCTCTTCATTTTTTAAATCATTTTCACCGTGAGAATCTTCTGATTCCGCATCATCAACTTTGATGTCATTGCGAAGCTTTGATTCCTGCTCGTTTTGATAGTTCTTCGAGCTCCTCTCGGTCTCTTCAGCATCCTCTTCGATGTCTTTTTCCAGCTTCCAAATGCCATTTTCAGCAACGAGTTTAGAATCTATTTCGGACCCCTCCCAAATGTTTCTGTCATATCCTGTCAGATTATTTTCGTCATTCGAGGTCTTTCCGTTCTCTTTAAAATGATAATCTTGATAATCCTCCTCGTACTCCTTGAATTCATCAGGCACCAGGTTCTTATCCTCCTTTTTCTTTTTTTTATTACTCGAAGAATTAAGTTTATTATTCTTTTGATCGTGAAGTTTACGCGCGAATCCTTCGTGAAAATCGGCATCCCGAACATGCCCTGCATGATCATACGCCGAATCCTCGTATCCCTCCTCGGTGTAGACGGTGTTGATCTTTGAATTGGTAACGACCTCCCTTAATCGGGGTGCGTTACGCTTCTCTTCGTCGGTTTTCGCGCTTTTGATCGCCTCTCGCAGTGGCAATCTCTTCACGGTATGAATTCCACGAACTTGAGCGTGCAACTTCGTCGGCACAAAGTCCAAGGGGATGTTTTTTTCCGGTGGTGGCTTTGCCCAAACTCCCGGAGCGACATACTTGGGTCGAGTGGACACGTTTCTCGCCTCTTCGTGTTCCGAATATGGTATCGCGTGGTCCGGAGACTCCTCAGAATCATCGTCTTTTTCGCTGTAATCTTCTTGACGATGAGACGGTCTCACGTGTCGATTCAGGTTATTCGTTTCTGCGGAATCGAGTATTTCTTCTGTTTGAATACTTGTTGAAACCGATAAATCGGTTGTAAAATCTTGATAGATCGGTGTCGTGGTGTTCAAAAGCAACGATACGTCATCGGTGAATCGATCGCTGCCGATAGATCTGATCGTGGTAAATGTGTAGAGATTCTGACTCGATGATACGGGATGAATGCTGACAGTTGTTAGAAGAATAGCGATGATTAGATTACAAACTTTTCGTTCTTGATCCATTCTTCTTGATTGTTCTTCGCTTCATAGCATTATGAGAAAATATCGTTCGATGTATAGCTAATGACCAATAAATCGTGAAAGTTTTACTTATATACACTCGTCGATAAACGGATTATTTTATTCACAATTATTGAATGAAATATTAATATTGGAATATTGAATATTAATATTTAAATACATATCACAAATTTATCGCAAACTTAATATATTTTATATATCAATCATAATTAATTTTTAATTTACAATCGATCAAAATAGCACTGATTAAATATTAAATTTACTGGATGCTTCTAATAAAACAGTACAAATTTTTCACACTTTGAAAGAAAAAGACACTATTATGTTATTCAATTTCTGGAATCGCGTGTATTTCCAGAATGACAGATAACGTTTATAAATTTATGTTAGTCGCGCGACAAGAGAGAGAAATTCACGCCGTCTACGTGATTTCTAATCATCTTTGATCGAGGTCTTTCGTCAAACTAACCGGTGGTACGGGTCGCGTGATCTAATTTATATTTTCCAGCTATCTAAAAGACGAGGTAAGGGAGAAAAACGTCTAGAGACCCCTGCTCCGCGAAGCGTGCAGATTCGATCGTTCAACGATTCTGTCACTCTCGATTGGATTCGTTCGCCGGGCCGTTTCACCCAAGACGCCTCTCTTCACCGGCTCGCGTATTAAAAAAACTTCGATATACGGTCTCGGTACCCTAATTACGTCGTACTCGTATCCCTAATTGGGATGCGAGCCTCGTAAAAGACGCGCGGAAGGAGGAGTGCGTCATTAATCAGACGAGATACGCCGTTATATCGGCGCAAAGCAGAGAGAACGCCTAACGAGAGAGGTACGATAGAGACGTAGAAAAGGAAGACGAGAGATCCAACATGGAAATATCTAGCAAGGCGAGTGCAAAGCATAGCGCGATTTATTTCGTTCAGTCAGCTGAATCGTTCGTTTCGCCGGCTGCGCTCCTGCGTCTTTCCGCGTTGATCCGCGAAGCGTATCGCTCGAGATCCGAGACTTTCTTCGCTCTGACGAATCTGCCGAGAGGACTATCATAAAATAGAATTTCCATTTCCAGAGCAGCCTAAATAGACATGTAAATTTTCTTAAGTATATAAAAATCATGCTACTCTATACTTGACAAAGATGAAATAAAGTACCAAATTATTTGATATCAGAAAGTAAATTTTTTCTCATCATTTTTTTGGCAATTAGTTTATTTTCTTATTTTATATTTTATATTCTAAATATAATCTCTTAATAAAAAAAGAATATATACTATTTTTTTGGAAATTACGTACCTTTTTCAATTGTTATAATATGGCATTTCATTTTCAAATCGCAATACATTAATTGTGAATAAAAATTGTGCACATTGTTCAAAATATAATTTAAAATATATATCAGAAAAATAACAAATTTTTGTAATACAAAAAATTATGTAATATGATAATATATAAGGACAAACAATTTTACTTATATAAATTTCAGTTGCCGGTAATGACTGGTAAAAGTTGAACTATGATAGCAATAAGACAGATTCGACTCTTTCGCGTTTCTACTTTGTGTGAATTTAATGCATATCTTCGAGCAACGTGTTTGCAAAACATACAATAGTGAGAAAAGATTTAGCTTTCTCCATTTTCCCCGATGCAAAGACAGTCAGACTACATTTCCTCTTGGTTTCGCATAAAATAAAAATCCCAATATCTGCGATTTGTTGCGAATCGTTGGTCACTTACCCTAGCACAAAAAAAAGCTGCACGGGAAGGAAGAAGTTTTTGACTTCCAAAATGTGAAACTGTATTCACAGATCGCTGATCCTAATAAATTGCAGCAAGTAAATTGTGATCATGCATATTTTACGGTATCAACGATTGGCATTGCTTGTATTACAAATAAAATTTCGAACGCTTTCTCTTGCCGGCTATAGTGAAGTGTAGTATAATTGAATCAAGCCTACGTCAAACAATGAAATAGATATGTTGAGACAGAAAAACAATCTAAGAATACTTTATTGGTGATATAAAAAACGAACATCATAAACCTTAAATATAATTTATAAATAATTCATAGAGATAACGACTAATAAATATCAGGTCGAGACGAATCTGTTAAAGAAAAAAAAATTTTTTCATTGCATCTGCCCATTGTGGCCATAATACTCCACCGAACGAAAATTTACGTACATAATACGTCCTCTACCCTAATTCCTTTTTTTCTTGCTATATAAGGAATTGTTCGAGAAAATACGTCATAAAAATTTATCATTGCCTATCAAACGATTTAACGATAAAAAGAAATTAATTAGAGATACAATATCTATTTAGAGTTTTATACTAAGTACCCTACAAAATAAAGTCTGTTTATAGCCAAAATTTTTTACGCGGCATCTTATATTTTAAATATTTAACTAAGTGTGTTTCACACTTTCTTTTTTCCTCTTATTTAAATTTTCTAAATTCAGAATAATCTCAAAGGTACATAGTTGACCTATAGATATCCCATATTGCAGAGAGCATCGTGTATTACATATCCCTCTAACTCTAACAAATAATACTCTCTCACGATCGCGTAGAGATTAGCGTAAGAAATACGAACGTCGCGAAATACGTGATTTGGAATCTTCATTAAAGTAGGATGTCAGGTACTCCGAAGGAAGAACACTAGGATCTAAGATATCATCGGCTTCCACGCGCTATTGTCGCTTTGAATTGTCGCTGGCTGGACGGTGAGTTGCGGCTCCGCGGATTGCAGCATGGAAGCTTCCGGTTTAAAAAAGTCTATGATAGGGTGATAATTATAGTTGATTCTCCTATGCGGTTCGTGATATTCTTCGTCGAAGCCTCCGTTCTGCAGCCTCGACGTGGCATCCACGTCTTGATCGTACGGTTGACTGTATCTACAAAGGAAAATTTATCGTAATACTTGCGTGAAGAATTCTAATATTTAACAATCACGAGCAAAGCTATTTATTTATATATAATTTTAATATGGCAGAAAACTACCGTATTGTTTAATCTTAAAGAAAATTAATATAATATTGAATAACAAATTGTATATCCTTGAAGCTTGTCCGATTTCAAGTATTTGATTAAATAGCTACTTAATTAAATAGATCTTTATATTCACACAGGAAGACGTTTAATAAATTAATTTTATATATTGTACATATATAAGAAAAAGAGATATATTAATTCAAATTTTTATAATTAATTGTAAATCCTAAAAAAATTGATTTTTTCTATCAATTTAGATATCATAATATCTAACAAATTAATCAAAAAACAAAGAAGAACACATGTACATAATTTTTTATTATAATAATAAATGGAAAAATGATAAAAATGCTGCGTTATTTACCGGTTGATAGCCGAACTGTTACGGGAAGATTCCATGTAATCCTCGTGAGAGGTGGACTCTCGTCTGAAGGGCGGTCTATTAGGTCGATTGGTTCTGATTTTAGTCAGCGGACCCTTGTAACCGGGTGCTCGCGTGTTGGGCGCGTGCTGCTGCGGTAATTTATCGTACGGCCTCGGGATCGACGAGGGCTTCTTCGGTCTGTTTCTGTTCGGAATAGTGAAGGTAGGCCTGCTCGTCACGCTGACGTCCAGCACCGGCTTTTTATTGCTGGACACTGAAAAAAAATCACGCGCGTTCACCGACAAGATCGTTCGAAGGATGGACGATGACAAATAATTTCGAAAAAAAGTACCGTGATTGGAGTCGTAACTAGAGGTGGAAGTATATTTACTGATGTGATTGAGATTGTTCTGAAAATCGTCTTTGGGATCATTAACCGTCACGAAGTCCGCACCCGGGAACGTCTCCTTAGTCTTTGTCGGGGGATCCGTCTGATGCGGCGGAAAGATCTCAGAGTAGCCGTGTACATGGCAGCTGCAGCAAGTCGGAACTTTGAATATATCCATGTGCAATCCCAATTTTTGATCCCAAGTCAATAGTCTGTGATAGTTGTAAATTTGTACGCAGGAAGACCGGTAGTTTTCGGAGATGAACGAGCAGCTCGAATGTGGATTACTGTGATAAGAGATGTTAAATTTTATTGAAATTTAATTACTTAATGGTATTTAGAAAATAGGAGAGCTCATAATCTTAGAAATAAAATATTAGTAAAAAGTATTATATTTTTTCTTTAATAATATATATTTATCGTTATAAGAAGATATGTTAACTTTAACGTTTTATTATTTTTGAGCTCTCTTTTTATTGCGTATCATATTTTGCGTAAGCCAGTGTCTTATAATTGGCAGATATTTCGTGATCCTGATCAGATATACTTCATTTAACTGCTTAAAATGAAATCATTACGTAAATTGATAATTAATGCCCAAATAAATTACCTTTCTTTCCTTAATACGTAACGTTACCATACTTACGAGCACTTTTCCAGTCGTATCGTCTGGGTGTGTTCGCCTGTATTTATTATATACTTCCAGACTCCGGAAGCAGCTCTCGCCAATTGGGGGCGAGCATACTTGACAGTCGACGGGCAGGTGAAACCCTCCTCCACGTTGTCAAAGGGATTGTCGGATCTTCTGAGGCCAAAAATAAATAATAAAAATAAATTCCATCATGCAAATTATTAAAAAAAGATAGATGTAATGTGATTAAATATTTTCTTTAAATTCATTTTATTTATAAATAAATTTTATTGAAATATAAGATGCGCAGAAATATAACTTTCAGATATTTTAGGAAAAAGAGAAGAAAAGAAATATCTTTATTATTTACCTTTTAATCTCATTGCTCTCGTATCTATTCTCATATTTATTCTCCAAAGGTAAAGGACTCGGTAATTTTTCCTCCGCGCTTCCGTAATCTTGCGCCTTATAGTCGGTCAACAATGCCGCTACCATTTCCTTATTGGATCTCAAACTCCTCATAATCGCCTCGCTAGAAAGTTAAGGCCCCTATTAACGGTTTTTCGCGGAAACAAACAGTAGCTACATTTTCTCCAATGCAGAAACATTTTTTTTTTTTACACGCATTTGCTTTTTATTCGAAAAGCTGGAAGTGATGCTCCAGAGAGTTATGAAACTTAGGGAAATTTAACAGAGGCAAAATAGTATCGCAATTGGATGTATCCTTTACAAACAAATTAATTATTGCAAATTATATATATTTGTAAAAAGAGCGATATATATAATTCAAAAAAAAAATTAAAAAATAATTACCAAAAAAAATATTTTTATATTAATTTTGCTGTCTAAATTCTATTAATTTAATTTTGCTTAATCTTTATTTATCTCTAAAATTCGATCACCTTTATTTTAATCATCTCGAGAAAGAGATACGCGGAAAGTGAAAACTCCGCGGGCTCGCCAATTAAGACGGCCCGAGAGATTTTAATCTCGCCCGTATGCAAATTGCCGCGTAACAATGTTCATCATTAATTCAATGCCGAAACGAAAGTTCGGGGACTCACTGCGGATAATCGTTGGCCTCGAGACACACCGTCTTCGTGAAGAAAGTGCATTCGTTTTCCGTGGGCCTTCTCTTCGGGTCGTTCGGACGTTTAGACGGCCGCATGATGGGCGGCCTTGATTGACCTGTAAATCGAATAAATCTGTCTCGACTGATATATACTTTTATCCGGCGCAATTCACGATTATTGTTGATTATCGCGGAAAACTGACCTGTGTAAACATTCCTTCTGTTTGGAGGAGATGGTCTCGGTGGCCGCAATGGTGTGATGTACACGGGCCGTCGTCGCTCTTGCGGCCTTATTAATCGCAATTCTTGAGCCTGTAATTTGAAAGAATTCAGAAAAATTCTCAAAAAAATATTGCTTTTACAAAATATTGTTTTTACAAAAATTTTCTCAAAAACTTAATATATCGATTTTATTCCGATACAGGAAATTTCCTTGTAATTCATGAAGTTAAAATTTCCTTTTCTTAAAGTTAAAGCAGAACAAATATTGTCTAGAATTTTAATTATTGTATATTTATTAATTGTGATCATGTGTACGCGATTTTACGCAAAATTTATAATCACCGTTTAATGTGTGAATTTTTATTATATTCTTCGTAATTATCAGCGTCCACAAGTATTGTCTGTGCGCGCTGACCTTAATGATCGTTTACATATACTTAAGAAGAACATTGTCTAAACACACCGAGTGTATTTTACATCCTGCATTAACAGTATGTTTTATTATCGATTTGAAATTACATCTATAACATCTTCTTATATTCGCCTATCATTGCCGAGTCCACTTGCGATTAGGCTCGTCAAAATGTTGCTGCTTATCTATGCGTCCACGCACGTGAGATAAATCTATATCCGCCTATATCCGTTCAAGTCACTCGCTAATTAATGTCCAGAATGGAAAGTCGTTCTCTCTCGAGCGATATATCTGATACGGCGTATAGTAGCCGCGACGCCATTCACGAGATTCACGAGATGGTCCTTGCGACGCTTCGTCGCAATAAAATATGTCGAACGCGTGTGAAAGTATTCGCATAAAAGGTGCCGTTTAAAATGCCGGCGCTACAAGTGAAACCGATGCTATTCGTTCTAAATCCGAGAATGCTATAATCTTAACTGCGGTCCAGGATAATGCACGATGCAATTTTTAAATTGATAATTGCAAATAAGAATGTCAGATGCATCGAATCTGTGTAATAAACATAATCAACGATTTTTCTATTAAATTTATGTGACCAATGCAAATGTGGATGTCAACTTTATAGTTTAGAAATCGCCGTATAAATCTGAAATATTTATTACAGGCTTCATGTATAAAATTCAATCTTTACAAAAAGTCGCGCCGCATGAGAAACTCGTATCTCTGCCAGGGAAAATATACATATATATTATAATTAACCGACGATATAAATCTCGTTGAAATTTACGATGAGTGGACACGTCAAACTCGACTTTCTACCGTTCGCTCATCGATGGTAGAAAAAGGTCGGGACGCGAGATAGATCATTTATGCGCCAACGTGCGCCGCATAAATTTGCGTTATTTTTTACTTGCACATTTCAACTCACCTCCGGTAAAGTTTCAGGCATCTCGTCCTCCTCCTCCTCGTTGCTTTCCTCGGAGTCGGAATCGTCGGATATGATCTTCGCTATATCCATGCTGATCGGCAGCATCAATTCTCTGCTCGCGTTTTCTCGTCGATTCCCATCACCTAGGAGGGATTGTGCCTTTTCGAGTGGCGGAAATGTGGTATCGTTCTTGGATATTTTCGTGGAAATTATCGTTGCCATTGCCAACTTTTGCGGCGGAGACATGCTACGCATTATCGGTATTACTTCGCCAATTTGTTCGCGCTTCTCCGGTCTCTTCATCGCCTATAGAAAAAGAACCAAGTATTATTTTCATAAAATTAATGAAAATATATATTCCGGAAATAACATATTTTTTTACTAATATTTTTTTACTTAGCATGGATAATTCAATGTACAAATATTGTTAATATTTAAATTAATATTTATCTATAAACAACATAACTATTTATTTGTGTATGTACACACTTCTGTTTTAAATAAATAACATTTCACGAAAAAAAAAGAATTAAGAAACAACAAGTAAATAGATGTCAATTGACTAGAAATGTATAGTTAATTCGAAAGTTAATCGAATCGAATGGAAATATGTTTACTCACGGATGCTACTACTTCTCGTACTTTGTTTGTTCTGTTTTTGCCGTCCTCGTCGACCAGCTTCAGTAACGTCGATATCTTCTCCTGAGCTTTCTCGCCATCGTTGACGTCGATATTGTCAGCATCCTTTTCGGCATGGATCGGGGACAGTAGCACGACTGTCTAGAGAATGAAACAAACAATCGCACATGTCGCGTATTGTGGTACATAATTTTTATATTTGTTGTCAATATCATCATATGGACAAGCGAATTGAATGTTGTTAAGCATTAGCACAGCGTAATAGAATTAAATGATGCATTACATCATTAGCTGTCTAATCAATTACTAGAAATTAAAAAAAGAATTTAATACTTGGGTCAGATTAACCGATTAAGCAGAGTTATTTAATTAATTAATTAATGTGTTGTGTCTTTAAATATTGCCAGCGAGCTGTAATTAACTGTGGCGAAGATTTGCTTGATGCAAGATATGCGGGATATAAATAGACAAATTTTCATAATGTTAATTATTAATATGTTAATTAACTTCCGATACCGCTAATTAGTGGACGTCGTGCGTAAGATTTAATGCAATGCGAGTGAAAACGGCGCGTGCGGTTGAGCGAAGGGACAATAAAATGCAACTTCCGCGGAGTAACAATCGTAACGAGCGTGCAAAGCCACTGCACATAGTTGAGAATAAATCGCAAGAAAGCGTAAATTACGTTACACGCATCTCCTCTTGTTTGCCAAGAGCGTGGACCCGATTATCGCGTAGGAGATCTTCCTTTACGAGGAGGAAGCTCGTCCGGAGAAACGTCGGCATTTATGTTCGTTGCACCGGAAATGGAATGATTGTAATGCGACCTTACAGGGGCTTGTGTTGCAAGTTTATGCAATCGTTAAAAAAAAAAACAGATCCTTAAAATCTCGTTGCAAAATCATTATACGGATTTAATCTCAGTATATGAACGATATTTCACTTAATAACTTAAATATATAATTTGTGTATGATGTTTTTGCAGAGAGAGACTTGAATTTAGTGAAAGTAAAAAAATGGCCGTAAGTTTTTTTAATTATTCTTGATAGTCAACAACCTGTAATTGAACAACTTGATAAGCGTTCTCCGATTTAATTATTTTAACTAAGCAAAATAATTATTATGAATGATGTATAATCATATTGAAAGCCAGTCTTCAATATGGAAAATTAAATTTATGTTCATATTTAATGAATGGAGCCAACATATTATACTTATTACTTACAAAATCTCTTACAAATCTCAATATCCTTATAATTAATACTTATAAATTTTTTTATGTGTCTTAATTTTTTATGGAACAAACCGTTCCAGCAGAAATACGAGGATATCTCTTATAAATCTTATAATAAAAGCAACTAGTTTCGCTAAAATATAATCAAGTTCAAAACAGCAAATGCATGCACGCACGCATATGAGAGTGCATTGACCACAACGCATCACATGCAGCTTTAATCCTCATAGAGATAAATTATCAATTATTAAAAACATATTTCTTTAATTTCACGCAACAAAAATTACTCGAACATACTTACATTTTTACAAGCTTATAAAAATTATAATTAAATATTACAGTGAAAAAACAGAAAGGAAATATAAGTTTGGAGAGATCGAGAATAAAATCGATAATAATCTTTTAATTTCAATTTTTATCAAAAAAAGATTGAAATATTTTCTGCGTTTATTAATTAAAAACAAAACTAGCTGATTATAAAAATATAAATATAAAAATGCATTTTTACAATAGACGTTACTTGATTCCCTTGTAGGGTTAAAGTCCTAAATTATTCGCAGTTTTTCGAATGACGTAACGGCCCAATAATTATCGAGCGGAGCAGACGATTTCACTGGTATTCAACGGATTCTTCGACAGACTGAACGAAATCGCGTGACTACATTCGAGCATTCCGTGATGTATATTCCGGGTCGGATACTTCGCGTTGATAAAAAAAAAAGAGCCTTTCGCGAATTCCCGCGCGAGAGCGAACTCGGTATTCCAGCACGTGTACAGGACATTTATTACTTTTCCTCATTCCAGCGGATCAAGGTCGCAGTAAAGGTTGTTCCACTTTGAACCGCGCAAACTGATGCAGGAAGCATCATGAAAACTGAGATAATTAAGAATTCCGTCTATTTAACTCTAACAATAAAATTAAAAGAAACTTTGTATGTGAAAAAACACTCTTTAAAAAAATTAATATCGAATAAAATTATTTCCTACAGAAATAAATAATAGTAACACATTAAAATTTGCGCCTTCAATAACTGGCGCGAAAATCGCACTATGTGTTTTCTTCTATCATTCTTTTTCCAATATTTTTTGTGCGATAAAAGATAAGAGCGTGAAAAGCGTTAGAGCTTTATAATTTAACAGCAGTTGAAAAATTAAAAAGTTAAAATGGCAATTAGAGATTTCTATTATATTTAATCGACTGCAACACAAATCATACTAATTATCGAAACAAAAATTATTCTTACCAGCAACACCCAGCATGACCGTCCTATCCTCATTCTAACAAATTACTAAGACTCATCAACAACTCCAATATCAATCGATCTATCACGAATCCCACTGTCACTACCACTGCAAATTTTTCAACACTATTATAAAAAACAATATCACTAAAATGATGATTTCCGCTTTAACCGGAACAATTATCTTCTGATTCACGAACGGCACGTGTTGGCGAAGGGTTGTTTGAAGCTCCCTTAAAGGATCTTTATTCCGGAGGATTCTCTCGGTACCGATGCTTGTTCGCCAAATCCATCTACAGCCGATCTGCTCTTCGAACTGGCGCGAAACGTCAGTTCTCCCGTAATGGTAGGAGACGAGAAGAGCCTCCCCACGTGGTCCACGTGGGGATAATATAGAAACGCAGAGTCTCCCCCTCGTGCAGCCGTGACCGAGAAAACCGGACCGCCGTCAGGTTGGTGGATAAGCGTGTCGTATCGGAGAGAAGGAAGAAGTCGGCCACAAGTCGAGCTCCTTCTCTTCGTTCGACTCTCCGCGAGAGAGTCACGTCTTTACTCTCGGTCAACAAACTACACGCAGCATCGCACGCTTGTACTACGGTATACAAGGTGCTCGAAGTTCATCATACTTTCTTCGTGTTCTTAGTTATATCTTTTCGTCGATTTAAATATGTTTTCTAAAAAATATCCTGTCTTTAAATTTTTCATTTAAATATTGATTATGGGAAAATTGGAAACTGTAAAAAATACTGCGTTTTATTTAAATTAATTAAGAGGCTCGTATAGGCGAAAGAAAATGAGAAGAACATACGATACACCTTGTATACTGTAGTTGTACTAATGTTCGGTTAACAGATGATATATCAACAGACTATTCTTTCTACAATTCCGGATCTAGTACTTTTGATGTGACACTCTATTGTCCCGAGAAAGTTTTTCCTTGCCATTGATCATCGCGATTTTTTTTTCTCGCGTGCGTAAAGCAGGTGACTCTACAGATCTATAGAATGCCGACAATCTCTATGTAATGATAGAAAGCCGAGATTTTTCTCCTTAAATATCGAACAATCGTTTCTTTCTTAACGAAAATTATAAGCAAAAATTAAAAAAAAATATTTGATTAGAAAATTTATTGGAATATTTAATCAATAAAAAATAATTACGTTAAAAACATAAATACTTTTACTTATTATTCTGAGGCTATTGTCATGCATGAGTCAATTTGAGATTTACGTGAAAACACGTAAGTTTTTATCATAATAAAATTACAGTTGACCAGCTGCAATTTAAATATTCGCATCGGTTTTGCTGTATCGAGGAAAAAAATTAATCGACATGTGCGGTACAGTGGGTTAACCGACGAGTTATTTTCTCTATGATTGCCACTTTATGTCTCTTACTTTCAATAATGCGATTAACAGTATAGGATTGTTTAGAGAAAGTCACCCAATTTCATATGAAGTATTCTCCATATAATAGCATATTGATCATTGTACTCGATCGCTCTCGACATAATTCATAGTAACAGCTTATAAAAATGATTTTCAGAAAATATATGTATGGCATGTGTGTGCATGCGTGCGTAGTGCATGCGTGCGTACATATATGTGTGTTGACAGAACATGTACTAATTTAAGACTCTTTTACGTTAACTATACCGTTTACAAAATTGACAGCTCGGCAATTTAGATTTGAATTAACTTCTTAAAAATGTAGTTCAAGCGATTTAAAAGTATCGAATCTATAAAATCAAGACAATCTTATTTAATATATATAATTCATATAAGAAAAATGTCAAATAATTAATTCAAAATTTCAAATATACCATTTAAAGGGAAATATCGGTTATTAAAAATAAAAAACAAGTTAGCTTTTTTGAAGAGTATCTTATAAAAGAATGCATTGCATAATATCACACACCTTTATTACACTAAAAACATCATGCAATTTCAGACTGCAATCGCAAACTTTCTCACCTTAGATTAACTCATCTGAGATTGCTTGGAAAGTGCACTAAACACAATAATATCTATGTAATATCTGTGCAAAAATAACGGCGAAAGTGTTACTCTGCATATATAGTGCTCATTTTGAAAGATCGAAAATGCGATAAAAACGCGCTAAGATATAGACACGAGTCGCATAAGAAGAACACTTTCTCACGTTAATTATATTTCGCATTCGTTATGATATTGTCGCGCTTAGAATAATATGAATTTCTTAATCCCCTCATTTTTGCGAAATTGCTTATGCGCTTTGAAGAGAGAACTTAAAAATTTATTACACGCATCTCTTTAATTAATGCGTGTCATTTAAGAGTCATTTACGGGACGCCTTTCTCTTTCACAAATCAACATTAACCAAAATTAATATTGTATAATTTCTTGACACATTATAGATATAATTCTCTTGCCTATTATAAATATTCTCTATATTTTTTATTAATTGTAATAAAAATGTAATTCACATATTATATGGACATATCATACATGGACATTGTTTCATCGCTTGGGAACGGGGATTCCTAAAAATCACGACGCACTTCTACTTTTGTTCGCGGCGAGTAATTTAACGTTGAAATAACGGTAATTAACGTATACGACCTAAGACCTCTTGCGTCAGTGACTTTCTTTTTTCTTTTCACAAAAGCGAAGTACGCTGTATCCAAAATATACCGTAACTGTGCTCCACTTGAAATTTATTTCTTATCTTCTCTTCCGTTAAATACGATATCCCGTTTCTAATATAACAGCTGCTTGAAGATGACAGAAGGGGCAAAAGCGGCGTTTTTCGCGTTACGCACGAATGGCGCGTTTTCGTTTCAGTACTTACTGTGTCTTCGATAGTGTTAGCGATATGCTAACACTATCTGCGCGATATGTCATTGTGAAGAAAATGTTGATTTGGTACGCGGCTGAATTGTTTCGCGAAGAGGTCGCGAGTAAAACGCGCTGCTAATTTCCGCTGATATTAAGAATTACCATCAACCTACTTTCGTGAGAGGATGAGTATATCACGAAGTAAAGGACATTTGCGCTTTGGAAAATGAGGTCTTAGAGAGTGTCTTATAGTCAATCGTATAATGAAGATTGGAGATCGCTGTTGTGCCGTAACAATTAAACAGGTATACTCTCTCGAGAAGATTGAATTAATCGGATAAAAGAATGATAATTAAATTTTTGAAAGATAGAATGCGATCTAAAAAAGAATCACGACAATAAAATCTTTTAAAACGTCAACACACAAGATAAATCTTGTATAATATAAATATCAAATTAAAGTTTTTGCGGCGTTCATTACAACGTTATTTTAGAGTTTATTAAAAAGTTACACCTGTCTAAGCCTAACAATTTATATCGTTTATAAATGCCTTTGGTGGCTTCCTTCGTCACTTTATAAGGTAATCGATAGACAGCTGATTGATGTACGCAAGTTTGCCGCGAGTCTTCTGTCGATCTGTAAATTGGCATTAAATCGCGAACGTTACCATCTACGAACGAGCAGGATAAACGCTCTATACTGTAAAAAACCGTAAGAACATAATTTCGGATGCCAAGCCGAATGTGGAAAGAGTAAATAGTAAAACGACACAGAATATTTTTGAAAAAATTTCCTATGATAATATAACTTAGAGAAAGATAAATATTAAATTTTTAAAAATTATTTGCATAATTTTATCTTGTAAATATCTAAAAAAAAAATAACTTATTTGCATATCTTTCATCTTTCTCGAATGAAAATTGCCATTTATACAGCAGAGATTAATGATTATCACTCTCGCGACTCCGGTCCTATTCTAAAAACAGGTTTATTCTCATTTTTCGTCATTTCGATGAGAATTTTTCGAGAAAACGATCATCTCGTTCTTTCCTTTCCGGATTCGCATCCGAATGACGGATAGATAAAACCGGCTAAAACAAACAAGTCAGAGAATGTAGGTCGCATATCCTCGCGTTTATAAATTCGTGAATTAAGACAGAGTTGAATAGATATCTATCATATTCTAGGAATAAACATCTAGTTCTAAACATTAAACGGAAATTGTTAGTAATAAAATATTAAAAATATTATATAATCTAATTATACATATATTGTATTTTTTGTAGAGAGGGATTTAATCGCATTGTCAAACTTTCAAGATATTTCTTTACATAATATTTTTGGGAATTTAAAATAAAATACACTAAAGTAGAACACTAAGGTAAATGTGCTTCTCTTCGTAATTCAATCTCGTACTCTGAATCTCTTAATATTCTAATGACTTGTAGTGAAAAAGGAGGAAACTATGAATCAGCACGCATAGGGGAATTGCGTATGGTTTTCTTGACGCTCGATTTCTAAAAGACTACGATGAGATAGACATCTTTGAGTAAAAAAGGAATAAAAAGAAATAAGATAAGAGAGTAGGGAGGATGTTGGGCGGCGTTATGAATGAAAGTGGAACGCGGGTTGTTCTCTCGGATCTTCTTTTGATCATGCTTCGATTCTTAACTTCTGCAGATTAGAAAGGAGCGCACACACGAGGATTATTATTACTGTGAAGCTCCGAGAAGATTCTGCGGCGAAAGTCTTTCGCTAAAGATAGCCGAACGTTGGCATTTCTGCCACCACCGCGTGCATACATCGTGACCTTTATGAAATTGAGCATAATCTTTGTGAAACGGTTTATTATCACTCGAGATATAATTGTAAAAAATCGAGGATCAAAGATCGAAAATATAGAAAGTTAGTATAAACTAAATACAAATATGTAAAGATAAAACAAATAAAATATATTATTGTATAATTGTATACAATAAAGTATTGTATACAATACTTTAATGTAAATAAATTGTTATAACTGTTTCGTTTTGATACAAAGCTCTCACTTTTCTTTTAATAATCTTCCGTTATTAAGTGATTAATGCAAAATTTCTCGATCTTTACTTAAATCATCATCATGCCGTATAAAACACGAGAGGGGAATCATATATGATTGTAATTTATATTTATTGTTATAATTCTAAAAGATCGATAGTTTTAATCACGTCGATCGATGCAATCTATCGTCTAATTATACTTTCGAAAGTGATTAGTTTCACCATTTAGTGGATATCATCATCGGTTAATATTGATCGTAGGAATGTATAAAGTATCATCCAGAAAGGTCAGTGAGCTTTTGATCTCCCTTACTTGATGTATAGGAAAGTGCAATGTCGTGTATGAGTGAAATTATTGGATCTTTTTATTTTTATTTTTTATTTTTATTTATATTTTTTATTTTATCATAATGTTTGTGTATAAATCCTTGTTCTTTTGCTATTGAAAAATTAGAGCTTGTGCAAATTATATCTTTGGCCTAATAGCTTAATTTTTTCTGTATGTTGTAATAAAATGACAATTTCTATAAATAAATAAATAGGTATGTCATTAATCGCTTTCTATGTTTTCTCTTCTCTCTCTCTTCTCTCTTTTGATTATACACTTTTATTTAATCATATTTTTTACCTTTTGTTTCTTCTTGTTTATCACGTAAATAAAAATTTATCGTGTAAATGCTATAATACTTTTTGGAAGTGTCAAATTTGACTGAAGCTTAATATCGCATAAATAATGCGCTTCTTCGTCGCTACGTCATCGAGATCATCCAGAAAGGTCAGTGAGCTTTTGATCTCCCTTACTTGATGTATAGGAAAGTGCAATGTCGTGTATGAGAGAAATTATTGGATCTTTTTATTTTTATTTTTTATTTTTATTTATATTTTTTATTTTATCATAATGTTTGTGTATAAATCCTTGTTCTTTTGCTATTGAAAAATTAGAGCTTGTGCAAATTATATCTTTGGCCTAATAGCTTAATTTTTTCTGTATGTTGTAATAAAATGACAATTTCTATAAATAAATAAATAGGTATGTCATTAATCGCTTTCTATGTTTTCTCTTCTCTCTCTCTTCTCTCTTTTGATTATACACTTTTATTTAATCATATTTTTTACCTTTTGTTTCTTCTTGTTTATCACGTAAATAAAAATTTATCGTGTAAATGCTATAATACTTTTTGGAAAAGTGTCAAATTTAACTGAAGCTTAATATCGCATAAATAATGCGCTTCTTCGTCGCTACGTCATCGAGTGTAAAGGAACTCGTCCTGAGCTATAAACGAGTCTGAGACGTTTTATGGTTATTCTGAGATTTCAGGAATGCGATCCAATTTACGGTAACGATCTGCAGTCTGAAACATACGCCGCACTCATTTCGTGCCACGAGCTCCGAAGAGCGAAGACAACTGCATAGAATGGATAAGTACGTTCGCATCTGTGCATGCTTTATCATGGAATACTGATGAAAGTGAGTTAATATTTATAATTTCGAGGCATGCAAATTCGAGAATCGAGACTGCTACTTGTTAGCTAAATACAATATAAAATTCTGTTATAGTTGTTAAAATCTTGTTATGTACGATCTGTATCGTAATCGCAATTATATAAATATAATCAATAACGTGTTTAATTACATGCCAATAAAAAAATGCTTCAAGTATATGAAAATATTACTTTATAAATTCTCGATTAATTTTATTAAGCCGCCTTCTTATCTGGATCGCCATTCCGATTAATATCCCGATCGGGAATTTGATTCCTTTGATCTTACTTCCTCCTAAATGTTGTGCAGTGGCATCTCCATCGTCTTTTAGCTCGCGGACTTTGACAAAACGCGACGGATATATTTGCATACCACGCCTTTATCTCGTCCACCGTACGTATAAATCCATATTCCCGTTGCAGTAAATCTGCGGCGTCTGTCGCGCACACACGATTTCATAAATCACGAGGACCGAAAGCAACTGCACAAAGGCCGCCTTCTAATTAAAAGAGAAAGAAGCACTTTTCTCGCGCGTCTGACCGCAACCCAGGATGATTCTGAGAGAAAATCTTGAACTGAGATTTTTTTTATTCCAATGTTTTCTGAATTCGACATCTGAATATAAAACTATCATAATACTATTCTTGAGAATTCTTGTATTACTTATGTTATAAAATTTAGAAATCGCGAATCTCTTACATTGAGATAATTAACGTGTGGTATGCGTAACGCACGATAGCGATTTCGCCGTACTTTACGCCATTATTTTTCGCAAATTTCCAAGACTATTTATTTTAAACATTTTACAAAAGGAGGGATAATCACAAGATATGTGCATACGTGATGATTTATATCATACCTTTGTCATGTTTTAAAAGACGAGCGTCTGCGTAAGTTATTATACGCTAAACTCCCACACAAATTCGATTTAATCAATGAAATATGTACGCGATTGAAATTTTCTCACAACGTTTACTGACAAAAGTTCTTAATACAATCGAGTCTACATACAGTGTTGTTGGTCGCAATCATTTTTTCGTGAGAGTAACGCCTAAAATGCAATATACTCGAAAACGATGATCCCGAGTAATAACGACAGACGAGACGTTTCAAAAAGTAGAAACGACATCGTAGAAAAGAGACAGTAAAATAAAAATAGCTAATAAAATAATCAACTGACAGTGGTGGGGCTTTAATCGGTTCTCTAAAGCGGCTGCAAAATATTTTATAATATATCGCTGGTATCATAATTTTTTGAGCGAATTCGCACCGTTCATCGAAGCGGAGAATAAAAATAATGGCGTGCGATATAATCAATAACCAATCGCCGCCCCAGAACGCGTCGCGAAAGACTAGAATGATTAAGAATAAACACGCCGGGCGCGATTGGAAACGTAAGATATATATACCTTTAACAACGATTAATAGTGATAATTATTATTACATTGTTACAACGATATGATGCGGTTCGACATCCTTTTTGATTCCCGGCGAATATATAATGTTTGTATTTATATATCTATGTAATACATATATAATAGCGCGAGGAATACAATATATACAAATGTTACGACGCAGAATTGAATCTCGTTGTGTTTTCAAAATGTAACAAGGAGAATTAAGTTTTTCTGTAAACTGCATTTTTCTTCGTACATTTTAAATGAATAATCATGGTTCGGAATAACAAATAAATATCAAGGCAGACATATATAAAAAATAATATCCGCTATTATTTTACGAACAACATTCGAATTTTTTTCCCTATGATAAGATTGGAAAATAATTTATATTGAATATTACGCAATAGAGCATAATCTCTTTCAAAATGTGTGCGAATACATGTGTGCACTGATTATTTTCGTTCAATAGAACATTTTTCATTTATAAATAAAATTAAAAAGATACAAATATATCGAAGAATTGACAAATGACGCGTGTAACTAATTAAGGATACTATTTACGCAATACTATACTAAATAAAATACTTACACACCTTGCGGTTTTTATAAACTCCCGTTGCGCTTTAATATGTTGATTATGATTTTTTTTTTATTTTCGTCATTTATCACAGCATCACGCATATTACAATGTTTTGCGTTCTGCATCCTACTTGTGCTTCAGCCAGAGGAAAGTAGCATCGTTAATTATACGTATGCTTCAATGTTTCGTAGAAGCATCTAACAAGAAAGATTCATTTCTAAATACATAATATACCGTGCGTCGCACCATGACACTTTATAAATGCACAGCGACATCGAGACTCATGCAAACATACTGGAATTTAGAAATTTGTGGACGGACTGCCATTCTTACACGCATGTCGACGAATCATTCAATTTAACTGATATTTTATCTTCCGTCATTCCTCAACTAGCAGTTTGAAAATTTCCTCTAAACGTATTTCAATTATTTAACGCACTTAACTATACGAATACATCTCGTACAAAATTTCGATAAATTTTAAAAGTCGAAGATAAGACATTTCAAATTTCTTAGAATTTGATTAATTCAACGTGCCCGATTTTTTCCGCCTTCTTTCTTTCTCTCTATCTTAGTCAGTGCACTCGGAAGCGAAACTCTCAAGGTCCACGTAGTGTCCGTTCATGTTGTCCTCCAGTAGCTGAGCGAGATCCCTGCGTAGGGTCTGGAATTCCGGCCTGCGGTCAGGATCGGCGTGCCAACATCGGGATATCACCCTGAAGAGCTCGCTTCGACAGTGCGAAGGCCTCTCTAGACGATAACCGTTGTGCACGTTCCGCATGACTTCCCGCGCCGTCATATCCGGGTACGGTGTTGAACCTGAAAAGAGAACGCAAGATGGTACGATCATTACGATGGGATATCAGCATGATAGGCCGCGGTAGGATGTTACCGTATCAATTCATCGATTAAACGCACATTGTTCTAACAAGATACAAACTGGTCCATAGATAGTACATGACATTGTTGTGCGCATCAAATGTTTGATTGCCATATCAATAGAAAAACGCGCTATAAAAATGTATAATAATATTTTATAATAATATTTTATATCTCGACACACACGTTTCTTAATGTATTAATTAAAGAAAGTTAATCGAATAAGTATATATTTAATAAATGGAACGATGAAAAGACAATAATATAGTAATTAAAAATGCATCGACTATGTTGTTCTTAACATCTGTTTTACAACATTTATGCACAAATGCTATTAACATAAACATGTCTGCGAACGTGTATCTTTATTTTCATATCAAATAACAGCGAGACAACAAACGGACTCTCGGATGTCGATAATATTTATTCCAGCAACAAGCTACCGTACTCGTATATACCACAAACAGGCTACCTACCTAGAGTGACGATTTCCCACATCAGAATCCCGAAACTCCAGACATCGGTCTTCGTCGTAAAAAGAGAATAGATCAATGATTCAGGGGCCATCCATCGAATCGGCAAGGCGTTCCTCCCGTGCCTAGTCTCGATCACCTCGCCGTCTTCGTTGGCAAACCTCGACATGCCGAAGTCGGCAATCTTGCACAGCTTGTTGTGATCCACGAGGACATTTCGGGCGGCGAGATCGCGGTGGATGATCTGCGTACAGAAAGAACAAAGTCATCGATAAACGATCGGCGTTCAAGAGATGCGTGTTCCATTACGGGTTTGCGATTGCTTAAGACCTAAGAGAAGTTAGAGCGTGATATTATAAGTACTCGATACTTGGATACGACAAGTCATTTGAAGAAAAACTTAGCCTTGAATCCGAGCTCAAGCGCGACGAGACGGGATTCGATACCGTGAAACGAAGTGTGCCTGCAAATATTATTTTATCGACACAAGCCAGGTACTCGTTGGACCTAATAAATCTAGCAATGTCAATCCGTCGATGTACATATATGCAAATACTACTGGAAAATAAGTAAGGATTTCTGGAAAGAATAAACACAAACAGGAATATAAATTTCGTTGACAGATGGTCACGTGCGTATAATGACAGCTGCAAGGAACATCTGCGTCTGCTTAGTCGTCAAATATAAGAAACAATTCAAATGCAAAATCGTTCAGGTACTTTGTAATTTAACCGTCAATTATGATATTTGTACATTTTGTGCCATGATTGTGCATAGCCATCATTATTATTAATTATACATTAATTAACCATTATCTCTCCCGTGCACTTTTTTGGCCAAACGAAATTTTCACTAAATAGCAAGACCGAAAGCCATGAAGAAAGAAGATCTAAATAATAATTATTACACGCAACAACTGAATGATGCAAACGCGATGTTACGAAACATCGAGCCGCACCAGCTGCGCCTGCCGTATTCAATTTGAATGCAGAGGCGCATCCAGAATGCATCCACGCACATCCGCAGCTGGTACGCGCACTATCATTTAGCCCGCACATCTGTGTATAATTGTCTATTAAAACCCGAGAAGCTAATTTTTGTTTTCTAGAAGCTATTATACAACGGAAACTGGTAATTCGACATTTGATCGAGCGCTTACGAGAGAAGTTTTGGTTCTTTATTCTGCCGTTAATCGTCAGGTATATTCTACTTAGAATGACGTCCTTAGAATACGCGTCTATCGCTGATTCCGCGCAAATTTCCCTCTTCCTCTTTGTCGTGCAAAAACTGACGAACTGCTCTACAAAAGAATTTTGACACAAAAAAATATTTATATCATTGTTCGCGCGTTCAGATCTCAATTTAATCTATTTAATTCTACTTTAATATTTTAATTCTATTTTAATATTCCATTCTAAATTCTTGACGAAATAAAGCAGATCGTATAAAAAATAGATTGTTGTTAAGATATATCCTTGAGAGCCATTTATTGCTCTCGAGTCGGATGAAGAAACTAAACAAATATTTCCAAACTCGTTCTTTATGAGAGATAAAACTCAATCTTTGCCTAGTGACATAAATCTCCAAGCGGGAACGATCCTTCAACAAACGTCACGGTGGAAGTTTTACGACTGTGCGAAAATGTTTGAGATTAAACATCATTAGCGGATTATTTGTCAAACAGTCGATGCTCTCCATGGCCTTCCACAGAAAATTAGATATCCTTGAAAGACCTCCACTCTCTTGTAAAAAAAAAATTATGCTGCGTTTTTTATCAATTTTTATATATGGATAAGAGACATGAAGAAAAATTTTAATTTCTCTGTCAAATCAAAATAGCCGATTGTTTCACGGTAAAAATTGCGCTATAGCTATTCTATTAAATTCTTCGAATCGCTAATGTCATTGTTCATTGTAAATGTATCGTGCAAAATTATTTCTCCCGCAATAGTAAGGAAGAAATAATAAGATTGTGCGCTGAGACGATCCAATTGTTGAGATGCTATAACTGTGCATTATTACGTGCGTCAATCACTGCGTCACTGCAATTACAACTTCACTAATCACATTTTGCCATTCTATACTCTTAACTGCGCAAAAATTATTCACCATAAATCACAAATGCGAATAAGATTATTAGTAATTGACCATAAAAGTTGCCAAGTATAAGTAGCAATAGCGTGTAACAATCTCGTGAGCAATTAACGTTCGTGGTTTAAGAAACTACGGCGTATTCAGGAAGCCTTGAATTATGAAAATATAAATATAACTGACGAAGTTAATAATACGTAAACAAGTTCTGAACGAGACATTTAATTACAACAATATTATTAAATGTACTAAAAATATATTATATGCATTAAGTTGAAAAATAAATGCAAACGTTAAATTTCTCCGAATCATCAAAATTCAAATATTCAACATCTTCTCGTAAAGTGTTGTAAATCTATCCGTAAATATATACCCAAATTTATTCTTCGACAAGCGTTTAAGGTGATGGCTAAAGGATTAATCGGTCGCCCGATATCGCTTTTACGGTGGGCTCGTTAATCTCGTGGAGATTAACGAGGGAGGCTCCATCTAAACACTTTAAACGACCGCGGTGCATCGATCCTCGAAGTGTCGCGCCGAAATTTATCGCGATTCCTTTCTTTTCGTGTTCAACAATCTCAGTCCCAATCCCAACCCGTCCTTTCGGCGGTATGTATCGAAGCGCACTCATGTCACCGAAAAGAAAGAAAGCAAGGGACTCGCGAGGATCGCCAAGCGATCGTCAAGTGGTCGGTCTTGAACGACTTTTTCTCCTACAGCAGGAGACAATTAGTTGCGTCGAGAAACCTGGAGGTTCTTCGATCCATAAATAAGACGTGCGTAATAAAGAAAAATTAATTAGCACCCTATTGCGCATTGACGATCCAGCGAGATTGAGGGTCGATGTAGTCATCAAGGACTATTAGAATGTATCGGCGTAATAATTCGAGATTTTATTATTTTTGTATACCACGTTGTGGTATAGCGAAAGAAACATTTTTTCTCCTCGATGGACGACAATTAGTTATGTGAAGACCTTGCGGATTTTTAGCTTATACGTAAATGTGTCAATCGTGCATAATGAAGAAAAAATAATTAATTATATTATGTCCTAGCGATCTTGCATTGTCGAGGGGAACAACATAATATCATCAAGGCCTATTACCGATCGGTGTGATAATCGAAATAGGACATTTTACGCTTATTTTATTCTTATGTGATATCACTTTTATTAACAAAAAATTTCTTATAAAATTATTTATTAATTTTCTGAGAGTTATGTAAAATCATGAAACAATAAAAAAGCGCAAAAAGAGATTATATTTGGTATCGTGCTTATGTTGAAGACATCAATATCAAGCCGAGACTCCATTTATTTTATCGAGACTAAATTCCGTATCGAGATTTATTGCAACTCGTTTCTTTTCGTGTTTGATCGCATTTTTTTCTCAATAGCGTATTGTGCATATAAGCCGACAAGAAACCAGAAAAGAAAGCACAAAAATACTATCTATTCCATGTGAACACATGAATATGGGAAATAAGTTTTTACCTCTATCCATAAAAAAAATATGACATATAAATGTTAAATTAAAACTTATCAGCAGTTCCCATAGCGTTAAAGAGACTTACTTTGTAATTTTGTCTTTGGAGAAACACAGAGAATCAATTAAATCTCGTTGAACTTTAACGTTTATGGGAACTATCCTGAACATGTAAAAAAAATTCTGTACCTTCTTTGACGCGAGATATTCCATGCCTCTAGCCACGCAATATCCGAAAACCGTGAGATCTCTGGATGTCAAGGCTGCTGAGTCCTCGCTAAAGTTGTAGAAGTACTGTCTCGTGCGGTGATCACGCAGATATGCGAGCAGTTTACCGTACATGACGTACTCGAGTATGAGATAATGAGGCTCTGTAATCAGAAAGAAATTACGCGTTGCGTTTTTTATATTTATTCATGGACGGCGCATTGGAGCTCCTGCGTTTCGAGTAAAATAAAATCTCAATCAGCGAAGGATAAATCTTATCCGTCACACAACCCGTTTCTAAAGAATATAAATCTTCACTCAAAAAAATGTCTTGCTGATATAGGTAGATTTCTAGGTGTCACAACAAAAATTTATCGCTATTTTTTGTATCTGTTAGAATATTGTCTGTTACATATAGAATTTATAGCAGCAATATTCTAATAATATCTTCTAGAAAATTTAGGTCCCATTGCCAAATGTTAATCACTGCATTGGATAAATATGAGTTTCGATACTACAGCTAGAACACTCTTTGTGAGAAATATAACTGCCAATTATAACTGCAGCATCGAAAAATTGAGAGAAATTGTTTAAAAGAGCTAGATAGATTGGGCGCGTTATACAAATATGTTAGATGTGAGGATTATATATTTATTTGTTTCTTGCCGCTAATTTTTTCTGTGTATCACAGCCAAACTTTATAACAAGTATGATTGGCCTTACATGGATAGGCGCCACAGAAAAACATTCTTTCTAAATTTCACAAACAGTTCAGATATAAATTCTGTCTCTGTCACTTAGATTGATTAAATGCGAAACATATGCGATATCACAGTATTTGCTAATCATTTATGTACCTCAGTTAATTTTGCGCACCCAGAAAATTTTTGCTGTAGTTGCAATACCACTTTTTTGAGTGTTATTCATCACATAACCTGGGGATTTAAATGAGTAATGCAAGCTTTAAAAAACAGAGGATACAGTATTATGAGTACATATTTCTATAATGAGTACATGGATTAGCGTTTGAATGACGGTTTATCATTTGAGACACGCTCTGTTGCATTTCAGCAAACGGAAAATATTGTCGTGCATAGATAAAGTGGCATTTCTCTCTCTCTCTCTAGATTATGTTTTCCAAAAATGTTAATAAATATATAATCACATGTTTGAATTACAAACTCCTGCGACAACATATATAATTTTTTATCGTTAATGACGCGCGCGTTGCATCTTGTATATATTATTGTTCATTTAAATAAAATTCCGAAATTTGTACAAGAGAAGCACCATTTAAATTAAATTATATTTATATGGAATTTATTTAATTATAGAAATTAAATTTACATGACATCGAATATAAATCAAAAAGTACATAAGTGATTACAAAACTGTATGGCGAGATTGCGAAAAGAAATATTCAGCGTTCGAAGTAATTCAAATGATTTACTTGAAAGAGTTCTCGCTCGAGTAATGTCAACTTGATTGTAACTTATGGAGCCACTTTTGTCGGTGCATCGCCATTGCTACAGCTTGTATTAGGTCAACATCGCTATCCTCTAATAATTCTTGTTCGCCAAGTGGTACACGCTCCTCGTGTCCGGATTAATTTCAGACGTTAATATGTTTTTCAGAGTGAATTAAACATGACATAATGTTTGTAGCGTCGGTTTTGCATGCGTGTAAGTCGTGCGTTATTAACCGTTTATTAGTAATTTAATTTTGTAATATTGAAATGAAATAGCCGTATCATATTACCACGTCATACTATGTTCGCTAATACAAAAATATTGATGTAATAACTATTAATTATATCCGACGAAAAAGATCGTGTATTCGCATTTGGTATCCCTGCACAAGGTAATAATTTGTTCAAAAGATAAAACAAAAATTTTTATAAATTATTAAAAATTTTTATGTATAATATTACTGTTAAAAAAGCAGATTGTACAGAGTTTTTTACTGTGATTTTACGTACATATTTGTAATCAACATATAATAATTATCGTTTTTTGATAAAAAATATTATTCTTAATATTTATTATGCAATTTAGATGTTAATTTAGAAAATTATAATTGAAAATAAAATTAAAAGATAATCATATAATATATAAAACAAAATAATTTTTTTCTGAGAAAAAGGTGCTCGAATATCCATTTTCTTCGTTAATATGCATAATATATCGAAAGTTCATTGTAATGTGCATGCATTGAATTCGTGCCAGTTCTACACTAACTTTTTCATACAAAAATCGCGGATCCACGCCTATGTCGATCGATATGGCACGCGTGTGATACAATAGCCGTGACGAATGCAAAGCAATACGAGTACGCGACGGTGATACGCGGGTTGGTATCGTTCTCGCTTTTATGTAAATCATATTTCGCACATACAATAACGGTAGAAATGCGCAGAATGACATGCCAAGCGGCGATAAAATCAAGAAGAAAATAAGACTATATTCATCCGATGCTTTGAAAGGACGAAGAATGAGAATTGAGATGTCCTTTCGGATTAGAATTTTTTTCTCATCTTATGTACGTCGTATGCAAATCGTCTCGAGAAAGAGAGACGGCAGATTGTAAACAAAACTACAACGCGGTGGCATTGAAAGATCTTCATTTTAAATCGCAGATTTTAAGATTATAAAAGGATGATATAGAAACAATTAATTCTATCAAATTGTTGGGGCAATTTCGCTCGCTAAATAAAAGGCAGAATATCAAGAATCCTTTGAATGAAATGTGAAATATCGTCGTAAAGCGACAAACGCTTAAGCTTGCAGAACGTTATCTGCATGAATTTATGCCAAAAAAGAAAACATTCCGTTCCCGGGCTCGCAGATTTTAAAGAATGCCGCTCCTTAATGTCGCTTCTATTTCATATACTCGTACGTTGCCTCGTCTGTGAAAGCAGATAAATAAGCCGAAACTCGATTAACGGCAAAAAGAAAAAAATGAAGAATGGCTAAATAAGAAAAAACCATCACTTTTATTAGACGCGAATCATTTTTATTACGCCGAGAGAGAAAATTTTTACGAAAAAACAATTCACTGATGCAATCTCGCAATTTGTTTTTTTATCTTTATCAAACAAATGATAACATTTGAGTATTATTTAACGCATATAATGCATTGGAAGAATATTATTAATTAAATATTTATATTTTTTTACGAAACATACCATTGCTTTTTAATACGTCAAAAATGTAAAAATTCGTCGAACTTGTAACTTTGATTAGCGGTTCTCCAGCCGTTAATAATTTTCTTAGTGGCCGAACTAACCGTTGAACGTGAGTTTTATTATCGTCCAAACGGCGGTTGTAAAACGATCAAAAGACTGGCTTTCTGGCTTTGACGAACGTCACCGGGAAGAAATTCGAACATGACCGCAAACGATAACGGCAGTGAGGCCGAAATTTAAATGTCGTAAATTTTATGCGGTGACCCGTCTCGTGTGGGCCGCCAAGAACTTTTCGCGTTCTATTGTGTGAAAGCAGAGCTATGGAGGTGAAGAAGGCCCTTTAAGAGGCCCACTCCTTGAGATGCGTCAGCGATGCCCGAAAGTTGCAGACACACCTCTAAAGATCTCGATTCATCGCCGTAATCATATCAACTTTTACTACTATCACAATGAACGTTTTATCGTTATAGAGAATTATTGCGAATTCATGAATTTCTTTCCGAGTTTATTTCTCACCAGTTTCCTTTACGAACGATTGTTTTTGGCGAATAACGCTGCCGATTTTCATTGCGTTTATCTCTTAGTATTTCTCGCTTCATTAATGAATTTTAATTCTTATTAAAATGTAAGAATTCTCGTTCGTATAAATTAAAAAATTATTTAAAAAAAAAAAGTGTTTTTGTATATAGTCTTCTGCTAAAAAAATATCTATTAAAACAAACTAATTAAATTCTCAATAGTACGTATCTATTTACGTAACTATATACTATTAGTAACAAAAATGAAAGTATATATAATAGTGCGACGTTACTTTATTAATCGAAACGTAGGATAATTTAATCAAAAGTTTAAATAAGAGTAGATCATGCATCTCGATCGCAATCGTCGCTCGTTTTTTTATTTAGTCTCTTTTGATCCAAAAGGGACGATTCACAAATGGAACGATTGTCTCGCGGGGATACTGACTTAATAAACGTATTATACCGCGAAGAAGTGCGTCGCTGGGATGCGTATGGAAATTTATACGAAAGATGCGAACGACGATATCGAGCAGCGTGAAAGGAAAGATGTATAATGGTTCTGTCCCGTTTGTAGTCCATCCCGACGCATGTGAGATTGTCCGAGCAAATTTTTGATGTCTCTACCATAAATTTGTTTGTCGCGCGAAATATGTCGAATCAATTTCATCGATCTACGACGATGTATTTTTTATATTCATCGATTTTCACAAATTTGGAAAATAAAAAAGAATATATATATTCAAATTTTTTTTAAGCTGATAATATAATCATTTTCCCTAAAAGTTTTGTAAAATAACTTTTTTCCTCTCTTGTATATATATAAATGATTATCTTATTAACTTAAAAAAAATTTGAATATTATAATACAATAAAAAAATATAATTATTCTTTATAAATAAAAATACGGAATTAAATATGATATCCGATAAAACTTTCAACATTGTTTAAAAATAATATATAAATTATTTCCTGTGCATATGAAATTTTGTACACCTTTCTTATATTAATGTTGAAAGTTTTGAAAAAACATGATAAATTTCCTCTCGTAATTTTTCATGATCCTTAAAAGAGTAATTTTATTGGTGCAATTACCTGCACGAAAATTACTTGCCAATTCGTTGCGCATTCGCTTTCAATAATGAAGGCGCGGTGCATCAAGAACCTTCGATTATTCGATCCTACGTTGTGAAGCAGGATGCAGCAGTTTTTAATCAATCACGCTACGATGAAATAACAGGACCGTCCGTCGCTCGTACTTTTCTTTACAAATTAATACAATCACCGATATTTTTACACAAGCTTATACGCAACAAAAGGCAACTATGCCATGTCATCAACAGGGAAATTAATTCCGAGAATAAAACGTAAATTTATTTATTGACTTCTTGCATTTATGTGCATAAAGACAGATTTTGATTCAGACAATTTTGATTTTTAATGTCGAAGAGTTAGCAAGATGATTGCAAGAAAGATACATAAATTGTTTACGCGATTGTTTAATTTGTAGCTGTCAAGTTTGTGGAAGTTAACTATCTATTACAGCGCAAGTAATGACTACAACAAAACGAATAAATCTTCCTGCGCCAAAACGATTCCCACGTAATTATCGTAAGAACTGTCTAATTCATCTAATTCTAAACGAACAATCACGGTAAAGATAAACATTTTTATGCTTATAATTTAATCGTTATCGCGAAAATTGTGTTCTTACGCAAGCATTTAAAATATATATACGAATTATTCAACAATAAGACACACGAAAGACATTTCATCGATGTAAATTACTGGTTTTTGACATAAACAAGCGATTTAAAGAGGCGATAAAATTTTTTAAGAGATGTTTACAGTTTAGGCACGTAATAAAATATTACACTGAATCAAATCACGCGTATATCGTGGACGAGAACGTGATCGAGAGCTATCGTTCCATTTCGACAAGCGTTAACTACTGTTGCGGAATGTTCGCGAAAATCTGAATAACTCATCCACGTAAATTTCGATTAAGGCAGGATTTGCCAGATTAAGGCAAAAGGCTAGAAGCATCACGAAAGGCGCATCGCAACGTCTCGATTGGAAGAGTCGCATTCGAACGCGGTTCTACCTCTCTCGTCTCGGACGGGGGCTTGATTACTTAATTACCATACACCGACGATCCGTGTATTCAGCGTCGAGAGAAGTGCCGGCAGTTAAAACGCCATCAGTTTTTATAAAGTTTACGCTGCCAAGGCTTCGAGCGCGCGACAACCAAGGTCGAAGATAAGTGACGGTAATGAGGAGGATTCACCGAACAGCTGCAGGTGCAACACCGATTACGCGCTGCCGATGCAAATCGAAATAAAGATGCGAGCGGATCCGTTACCGCGACAAATCGCCCGATTCGTGTCGCACCGTCGGTTGTACATATCCAAAAATGCTATATGATGTATACATCTTTGCTCGTTAATTATACCGTAGGACCCTTCACACACATGCATAACCAGTGCAAGAATTAAGGCAAAAATAATTTAATTGAAAAAAGATTAAATGTAAGATACGTGTATGCTGGGTCGAATATATTTCAACTAATAATGTGTGCGTATGCGTTTAATATATTTCTTATTAAACTCACCTTCCTCGGTGCAACAGCCCAAAAGTGTTACGACGTTCGGATGACTGCCTAATTGTTTCATAATTTCAAGTTCTCGATCCAAGTCTTCCTTTTCACGATCGGAAGCACCTTCTTTGATGGTTTTCACCGCCACTAGTCGAGTCGTGCCCTGATGACCTGTCAAATCATCGGCTTCGGCTTTCCACACCTAATATCGATACACACATAGACATACACACACATATAATTACATATACCATGTGTTTACCAAGTCAAAAAAAATTTTTTGTTTTTCTTAAAAAATTTAAATCTAATTTAAAGTTAATTATTTTAAAATGTTTTTACTCCATATATACATTTAATCTAAATCATATTAGCGATCAAAATAGTATGAGCCAGTGTAATTTACCATAAATAAATTGGATATACTATTCCTAATGTGTGCTTAATGTTATTAGCGATATAATATTTATAAGTGTAAAGTCAAAAAATATATAATCATCACAAAACAGTGGTATCAATCATCGATCCGCCTTTTTATCGTTAATTCATTAGAGAAAAAATTTATCATAACAAATTATATGTTCCTGAGTTTTTCCTCACACAATCTGTTTTGTATAATAATTCGATTACACTGACATTACGCTACCTGTCTATTATCAAATCTCATTAATGCAATGCAAAATCGTATACGCCAAACGCTGCTATTACAAATAAACGCGGATTTCTTCAAATAGACAAACAAATAAAATCACTTCATAGGATAAATGCCGAAGGAAAAAGCTGCTGAACTTATCTCGAAGATTATATTCCCGCGTGAATCTATCTCGGATATTTCATAAAATCCATCCGACAGTCACAAATTACAGGCTTATTTTTCATTTCATTGTTTATTTTCACGCCGGAATGTGCCGCAGAAAATAATATCTCCTCACCTGACCGAAGTTTCCTTGTCCGAGAACTGTCTGTAACCTAAGCTTATCTCTAGGAAACTCCCATCTGGATTCTTGAGACGGCGGAGGCGGCGATTTCTCAGCTTCGTGACACTGCACAAAGAATCGCGCGCAAAACGAGCATTAAACTGCAGTTTAAAATTGTTCAGGAATAGCTAATTGATATGCACGAGAGCGAACATCCGACACGTCGTCGGAAATTAACGTCTCGCGTCTATCGTTGTCGTATTTCTTCTATGTTAGAGAAATAGACTGTCAGGATTTTCCACTCGTGTATTTCTACGCATAGACTTTCCTACACGTGAAATAGGAATTAAATCTATTATATTGATATGCAAATATGACATTTATGCAAATTAAAAAATTATTAAATTATTAAATTAAATTATTAAATTATTAAATTAAAAAATAAAAAAAATAATTAAAATTAAAAAATAAAAAAAATAAAAAATTAACGCAAATTAAATTAAATCCTCAGAGATAGAGACAGAGACACAACTATAATTAAATAACGTAAATAAAATTATATCTAAACATTGATATGTAAAAAATTATATACGCCAATTTTTGACGCGATTCCTTAAACGAGTCAAATCATTTTACAGATAATTAAATGCGTCAAACAGATTATTATACAAAGTGATCGCTGTCGTATTAAATATGCGTGCGTTAATTTCTCACCAAGTGTTGTATCCTCGGTAGCTTCGTGATCGCTTTCTCGATGGAGGTCTTGAAGTCGCCGTTTTCGAGATTAAGAGCGTCCTTCCTGCAGCTTATCTCCGATGACGTGTCCGACTCTTCGAGCACCTGCATAAGCAAATCAACGTCAGTGCATGCAGCAACACATGCCGTATGTAACGCGCCGCCAGCACGCGCGCGCGTGTTATTACGCACGAGATGAGGGGAGCCCGCTCGAATCGGTCGTCACTCCCGTTTAATTAGGAAACGCAATGCCGCATAGCAATGAAGATCGGCCAGAAAGATCAAGGCGTCCCGAGTATATTTTCTCAAGTAATATTACGGTAATAAAATTAGATGTACCTATTACGACTCTACGCGAAAATACGATGTTGACTTTTCTTACGACGGCGATAAGATACGCACAAAAATGATGTAAATATAACCGCGCCTATCTACTATAATAAAGCTTTAAATCAACCATAACAATGTTAAAATATTTGCTAACCAAAAATAGCCACGGAAAGTACTCTATGTGTATTATATAATATCATTTATTATATTGATCTTTGTCTATATTAAATCTTTCTTTTAATTTACAGAAAGACATGAAAATTATTCATGTTTATAATAAATAAAGTTATTGAATAATGTTATTAGCTATACTTTTATAATAAAGTTATGTTCAACATTTTTAAAATTATAGTCTTAAATCTTTTTTATAATTTTTATAAGATTTATAATTTTTTAATTTAATAAAAATAAGGCTCTTATATAATATACAGAGAATTCTGAATCTATGTACCTTTGATATGATATTAAATTAAGAAATCTATTCTAATAGTTGTGTGTGCATACTAAATATCGTTGTTATGTTGTCAAATTATTATTATCGGTTTCGTCATGTGTGTTATTCTTCGACATCGCTCGAGAATTATCGAAAGCGTAAGATGTGTGATTGTACGAGCTCACTTTATTACCGAAAAACAAAGTTACCTCGCGCACGAAAAGACATTCAATGCGAAATGAAATAAAACTTCGTGTTATTTTTACTGCTACATTTGCACAACGTATTATCTTATACAGGCTGTTTCGAACAAAGTCATTTACAACGAAAATCTCGATCACGTACGAGAATAATGAAGAAAGCGGATCGGTTTGTCTGTCTATGGCGAATTTTTCAATTTCGCGAAACACACAGTACGTTCAAGTTCAGCATCAGACGAGTTTCAAAGCGGTCCTATTTATTTGGCTCTTGTACTCATTCCTCGTCTCCCTTCTTTCGTTTACACGCTCCTTTTTTTATCGTCCATACAAGCCTTTGTACCGCCATTCAGATTTATTTCCATGACTGTCGGATTAAATTTAAATTTATGTTCGCATTATTATTACGAACGTGAAAGCATTTCGCTTATGTCATTTCCGGATATTTTACGTTATTCTTTTTGCTGTTAACTTTGATACTAACAAATTTGTAATATATGCTATTCATTGAATAAAAAAATTAAATTTCTATAATTAAAAAATACAATAATAAATTATATGTGTAAAAACATGATTCTTTAAAATTGTATAATATTTAAAAGATAGGATTAGTTTAAAGATATGAATTCATAAAATATCTTCGTGAAAGTGTATTATCGCAACGTAATCAATAATAATTACATTACACAAAGATTCTCATTTTCCGACGCGACGTAAGATTTGCGCGAGAAAATTTTCGACCTTCGATACAATCTTCTTGTCGGCTACCCGCGGAAAATTCCGCGCAAAAATAATCATCGAAGACAATGGAGCCGAACAATTTTTGCATTATCCAACGGCGCATTCATTTTCTCATTACTATAACGCGCCACGCTCCATCCGATGATTCCTTGCACGAAGACAAGACATCATAGGGATCCTCAAGATTTCTGCATACAATGAACCTGTAGTAATTGCCGATGGGGGAGAAGGGGTGATCGCTAACCATTTTGTGAATCATCGCGGAGCTAGCCTTCGCGAAGGAATTACTCGATGACCGCGTTTGATATTCATTCAGGGTGAAGTCACGGTCGTGAAATTTTTTTGCGAGAAAATTACATTAATTCTGTGAACTCTTAAAAGTATCTACATCTATCTTCATTATCCTGAAAAATCATGATGTGATTCTCCATTATGATTTCGATAGCCCGCTTTTTTAATTAAAATAGTGTGGCCCATTGAGATGATACTCTCTAATCGCAGACTTATCAGAGCGCATTCCGGATCAATTAATAACAACTAATGAACGTAACTAATAACGATTCAGCCATGACGATGATGTCGCGCTAATCATCGAAACTTTACCTTTAATCTCGCGAGATAATAAATAATAAATGCTAATATGCAATGATAATCGAGACTATATCGTGTAATAATACATAAGTACCATTACTGTGTATTAACGACAAAATTTGTGCCTGCATGAAACAATTAAAAATGTTGCTTTCGCCGACTTGATTATTCGAGAATAAATCTGATCTCTAATTAGATCATATCAAAATAAAATATTATGCGTTGTTTTTTCAAAAGGATTAGACGATTTTTCTCTTTCTGACTTGTATATTTATCTCATCGGAAAATTATAATTTTATTTTTAATAAGAGCGTCTTAATTTGTTTTTTTCCCGATTTTTAATGTCGAGGAAAATCGTTATTCTCGTTATATCTTTCACTTACATATTAAAGAGAGAGATACTGTTATATTAAATATCATAAAGAAATACAAAACTAAAGTATTGAGAGAGAGAGAGAGAGAGAGAGAGAGAGAGAGAGAGAGAGAGATTAAAGTTTAAATAAACATTAAGATATTAATATCTCTCTATATCTCAGAAACAGTTTGCGAAAAGCTCTTTATTATAAATTAATAAACTCATCATTAAAATTAAGAGAACAAGATTTCTACAGCAGTTTGTAAACATCTAACAATTACGTGTTATTATTCTCACAATATTTTTCTATCAAAATATCGTATCTGTGATAAATATTTCAATTTTCAAAATTTCTTTCAAGTGCCCCGTTAACCCGTATTCTTAGCAATCACGTGTTTTTATTAAATATTATGATTAATCAAATCACGCTCATGATTTCTCGATCACCGTGACGACTTCACCAGCGAAGAGAAAGACGAAGATATCAGGACAGCAGTAATCTGCGCCGGACTTTCCAATCTAAGCGCGCGCTCAAACGACCTCAAAACCTCGAAATCACTCACCTTACGATTCCTAAGTATCAGTCTTCTGAGAATGAGCCCGAAACCGACGGCAATAGGAAAGACAACGAGGGTGGCCAGGATATAGCTGACCACGGCAACCGTCTCCTGAGTGGCGATCGCGTTGCCATCGTGCCGCTTCGATATCACGTCACTGATGTTCATCGGCTCCCGCGGGCTCACCGAGATCGGTCCGCCGACTTCGAAGAACGTCCTGTTGAGCTCGGCGGGATGGTATATCGTGCCGTTGTATTCCGGCAGAATCGAGTGATGATAGGTGGGCCTATACCTCGTCCTGTTGACCGCGAAGGAAGATCCTCTAGACGTGACTGGAGGGACGGTAGTGTCCTGGGAGCCGCGATTCTCCTCGTGTTTATCTTTCCGCGAGCCCGTCGTACTTGTGGTAGGCTCTCTAAGTTTCGGAACTGGAATAGTGGTTGATGTACTTCCACTGATTTCCGTCGTGCTAGTGACAAATGTGGTCGACTGATTCGTCTTCTCTGTCGTTGTCGTCGTCGTCGTTATCGTCGTCCTCGCAGAACTCTTTTCGTCCTGCGGTTTAAGATCCACCGGAAGTACCACTCGCGTCCGTTCCGTACCGCGAACAAATCCTTCCACCGGTCTGCTGCCGTTAAAGATGTCCGACGTGTTGTATAGATGCATGATCGGCAACACATCGTCCTTATCCTTCGATTTGTCCGATAGATTACGCGCACGGACCTCCGGCGATCTCTCACCTGACATGCGTTTTTCGTTGTCTGCAGGCGTCGACGACGTAGATAAGACCTCCGATTTTCTGCTTGGAGCATCGTCCACAGAACGAGTGTCATTCTGAATCGGCGAAAACATTGTCGTCGTCGTCGTCGTTGATGTCGTCGCGTCTTTGGCCCGGTATCTCTTCTGGATTTCCGAGGGGTCCAGATTACTCGCTTCCGGCGCCTTCGTTCTGGCGTCCATAAAAGCTTTCGGATGCACCGTGGTCCTCTCCCCTTCCGTTAATATCCTAGGAGTGACCGGGAAAACCGGTGCCGCCGGCGTTGTAGTTGTCGTCGTCGTTGTCGTCGTCTTCGTGACCGTTTCATCGATTCGCTCGGTCACTATCACGGTCGTCGCAACAACACTGTCTGTCGTTACGTTCGCGTCACTGTCGTTGCTCTTGTTCGACATCACGACACTCTGATAATCTTCACTCCCGATATTGTCTTCGTCGTTCACACTCGGCGTGCTAACGACATCCCCTGCAAGAACATCGGACTTATCCGCTTCCGTCATCGCGATCGCGTCGACGAGAACGGACGGATCGGTCGCGTTCATCGTCTCATCGGTTGCGCTTGAATTTCGACTTAAGTTGCCCATGACCGTGGCTTCCGGCGAGCTTCCGTCAGCCGGCACTTCGTTCACCCTGCCGCTGACACGCGCGATTTCCCGAGGAGAACCCAACACTTCATCATCCGAATCGTTGCCGCGACTCGTAACCGTTTCGTCCACCGTTAAATCTTCTGTAGCATTCTCGATCTTCTCTTGATTACTGGAGTTTGTCCTGCTATCATTCCTTGTGGACAAGCCGCTCTCAGAAGATGATACCCTACGACCCTTGCTTGTCACCAGGGACGAAGACTCTTCATTAACAGTCGTTCTCTGATTCAGCACCGCGCTCGCGCTCTTCCTCAAGAATCTCCGGTCATTAGCACCCTCTTGCTCGCTGGTGCGCGACTTGACCTGGTTCCACCTGACCAGTCCCCTCTTCCCGGTCTCGGGCGACTTTACGGGTCTCGTTGTCGAGATAACGCTATCGTTTGCAGCTGGATGCGGCGAGGACCAGATCGCTCGTTGACTGTAAGCGCGTTGCTGCTGTTGCGGGATGACTTTCCTCGGTCGTTCCCCCACCAAGGTATCGACAACAACACCGGGCGATGATTCAACAGCTACGGCTGGCTCGACGGTCGCGCCGGTACTGAGTCCCGCCGGCGTTCGCGCCAGTTCTATACTGGCTGCGCCGACACGAGGAAGCAGAAGAGGAGAAGACGGCGGCAGCGGCGGCGGCGGCGGCGGTTGCTGCTGCTGAGACGGTCCATCGCTCGTTATCTCTGCACCGCTACCAGGACCGGCGGCACCACCACCTTCTTCTTCCCCTCCTCCTCGCCTCTCCTCACCGTTTAACCCGGGCCCGGTGTAGTTGCGCAACAATCGCGTCACGTTCGTTATCGTGTAAGCGTACACGTGTTGCTGCTGCGGCTGCTGCTGACTCGAGTCGACGACGACAACAGGTGCGGACGACTCCGTCGTCGACGATGTCGAGGACGTCGACAATGGCGTCGATTTCGAAGCGGTATCGTCATTGACCGACACGCGAACCGGTCGATCCGCGAGGACCGGTTGCTGTTTAACGGTATTTCGTTGCGCCCGCTCGCTCTCGATCGCGAAACTCGAGAGCCCGAAGCTGTCATCCGGCACCACGATTCGCAGCGTCGACGATTCCGTTCTTGGCGAAGATGCCTCGATATTGTTGATGTCGCGGGACCTCGAATTCGTTCTCGCCGGCGACGGAGAGATTACTTTCTCGACGACATTCGTTAGTTTGTCCTCCGATTTCACGGCGCTTGTCGTTTCCATTTGTGCTTCGACGACTTTCTTCTCATCGTCGTCCTTCGCGAAATCGTTCGTCATTTTCTCGAGACTCACGGCAATGACGCCGTTCGTGGCCGCGACAGTTTCGTTCGCGAATTTCACATTGATTTCACTCTCCGCGACGCTCGCTTCGGCGTCGTCATGACGTTGTTGCGGTATCTGGGTCGTCGTGCTCGCCTTGACCACGTGGATAGCGCCGTTTCCTCTCTCTCGCGGGACCCGAGCTCCTGTATTAATGGACGGATCGCTACGACGGAGCTTATCGTCCACCGTATTCATCTCGCTCCTCGTATCCGATCCGCTATCTACCGGGCTCGACTCATTGCTCGAGATGACGTTGGACACAACGTCCGCCGTGGGCCTCGGCTTCCGGTAGTACAATCCACTACCCGGATTCCTAAACGTGTTCTTGATCCGTGAAACCTGATTCTTCTCAACCGTCCGACGTTCCAAGGCAATGTTCATCTCGTCGTTCATGATCTCCTCAATCGGCGCGGCTATCATCGCGCTGTATCTCTTCGAAGAGTATCTTCGGCGCGATGAGGTCGGTACCGTGGATGTCGTCTCTACGGAATTGTTGTTACTGTGGCTGGTGACGTTCTGCGCGTCCGGTTGAAGTTTCTGTCCAAAATACAAAAACTGCGACATATCTTCCATCGGGATGTTACTCTCCACCGGCCGGAAGTGTTTGTACAGCGATTCCGGCATTGACACGATATTCTTCTTACGCGTGTCCGCGTCTCCTGATTTTTGATTAGTGGACATAGTCGACGTCGTAACGATCAAAGACGACGTTGAAGAGGCGCTCTCGTACTTCTCGGTCGTCGACGTGGACGGAGTTTCGCTTTTTGTCATCTTTGGCGTCTGCTGTTCGACTTCAAGTTCCGTCGAATCGAGATCGATCGCGGAAACAGCTTTTTTCTCGCTGTTCTTCCTCGATGATTGCGGAGTCTTCTCGTCCACCGACGCTTCGGTTTGCGCGCTAGTAACGTAAATGTTGTGCTTGGTCTCCTGGGTTTCGAGAATATCCGGAGGATCTTTCGAGGTGGTATTGGGTCGCGGTGTACGATTTAAAAAAATCCGAGATGGCTCATGTGAGCGTTGATTCAAGATCTGTCGCCTCCTGGCAGCCAGGATATTACGTAGCGCCTGCTCGCGTTTAGTTTTCGACGATAACAATTCTGCATGTAAAGATGCGCGCCCTTGACGATGATCTGCAACCGATGCGTCTGTGAACAAAAATAAAATCGCTGTCTGATATCTAATATTATTAGTTGCCAGATTAAATAGAAAATAAGTATATAATTATAAAATAAAAAGATAAAAATATAATTATAAATTATAGTTGTATATTAAAAAATTTTTAAGTGATTTTTATTGCTTGAAATTAAGAATTCTATTCAAAACTAAAAATAAAGATCTTCATGTACGTTGTTTACGATGATTATACGCCTTTATTACGCCACGGCATGTATTATCACACTAAAGAAATATACATTTTAACGAAGTGTAAATAAAATGCGGTTTCTAAATGCTAATTGATCGCATGTGGAACAATAACACGGTGCGTAACAGAGGCGATTATAGTTCCTGTACGTTTCGGTTCGGTTCCAACGCGACGAAGAGGAGAATTTTCCGCGAACAGATTAATATGAGAATCATCGTTCGTCAGAGTACTCCTCCGGTGAAAACCGGAAGAGCATCGACCGTCTATGCCTATGCGCTAGACAACGACGAATGTAATTAAGTTCTCAATTATATTCGCCGCGTGTGCGACGTGCGAAACGAAAGAAATTCTCGCGAAGAGGAGTTCTCCGAGTAACGGTAGTTCTCAGGGTCGCGGATGGCCGAGTGGGTTTCGGGGTACGAGAGATTTGGTACCGTTACCTTTCTCATGTGTCCGACGAGCCTGCTCACTAATAATCGACCGTAATCGAGATCGTAAAAACAATCCGAATCGCGGATTTATATTCAAATTCACTCAAAAAAATTTAAATGTGCTAGTATTATATATATATCAATCCTAATTATATAGTTACAAGATTATAGTATTAGAAGATTTAATATTATACTTTTAATATCAAAATTTCTAGTAATTAATTTTAAAAAAATTAATTAATTAATTAATTAAAAAAATAATCTTCGTAAAAAATCTAAATAAATAAAAAGTTTCAATGTATACAGTTATTGTACATATATATTGTAATATTCTTACTTGTTCAGCTCTGAACGAACAAACGCTTCTCTCGTTCCCCTATACTTGTACTCGAGCGTTCCTCCTCGCGGTTTTCCCATAGTATAATAACGCCCGCCGACAAGCCTATCGTGCAGATAATGGGTACTGCTCGATTCGCTTCGCTTCGGAAATTCGTTCGTATTGCAAATTACCGAAGAACGTGCACTATATAATCTCTACTTACAAGTATGTTCCGCTGAAGGATCATTAAGAGCTCGTCCGCAAGAATCGAGAAGAGGATATGGGCTGCGCGTCACGAATTTATTCTCTTATTGTCCGGCCCCCGACGAAACGACAAAAAAAATGAAGATCGTTTACAGCTGCAACGAGCTGAATTTAAAACGACGTAAGAATCCGACCTGTCGATCCAGCTCGTTAAAGGGATCGATACGCTTTATTGCACGGCGGCGAGAATTTCCAAGTGATTCTGATGCCCCGTGAGAAGGCCTCGTGAATTCAAGGATTAACGTGATATACGATAAGGATAAAAAACACGATTCTCACCTAACGCGCGAGAATTTATTCTATATTAGAAAGACTCTTATATGGCTTGAAAATTATGAACTTAAAGCTGATGGGGATGAGCTTTGCGAATACAAAGTTTTCTACAAGGATTTACGAATATTTGTGACTATGGGTCCTTAATATAGAATCAGATATGGTGTCTTGGATAATATAATAGAAAAATTTTAAAGAAGATACTTTATGTTGAAAACTAATGGGACTTCTTTAATAAACAAGCGTCGCTCGAAAGACGTTCTTATCGCGTAGACATTCGCGTATCTTGTCATCATATATACGACAATCCAAGCTGTTGCTCAGACTCCAAAACCAATTCAACATCTTAGAGATGCATTTCAACGAAGTAAATATTCCGGATGTGTAAATCGCATCGTAGAACCCGCTCTACAAGTGGAAACCCGTTTATAAATATGTCCGAGTGTCCCGACAACCCGAGTTCTGAGTAATGCAGTCTACCTCAATCTAATCTTAACCAAAATCGCGGGAATTGTTGTTTAACTTTGAGCGGAATTTTTGAAGAAGCCGCAAAATAGAGAATGTAAAAAAATAAAACAGAAGGGAAAAAAGAATGATATTAAAAATATCTAACATTATCATTGCTGCGCAGTAATCTGAGAATCTCGTGCAATAATTAGAAAAATCAATTTTATCTCGGCCTTAATTTTCAATCAGCAAACAAATAGAAAAACATAATTATATGTTAGTATATCGACTTAAATTATTGAACACTGGAGACCGTTGTATTGTCTCGGAATTAAATTGGACCATGACCGCAAAAATATTGCGTTGTAAACGCGAGAGAAAGACGGACAGAGGGACAAGACGCGGTCGCGACATAAGACGCGAGTTCGCGATTATCGTCGCGAACGTGACCGCGTCGTAATATTTTATGTGGACACGTGTACGAGAGAGGAAGGTCAGTGATGTTTCTGCTCTTGTTCCGCGGGCTCTCGGCCCCGTGTCTTGACGGCTGGCTGGTTGCCCGAGTAAACTACAATGCGGACGCGTGAGATGACTCCGAGATGTTGTCACACACGCGGCTGGCCCGCAAGAACGGCTCCAGATTCGACGTGAGATGCGTGGATCCGGATCCCGCGCGTGCCGTTTCACTGTCCCACTTTCGGTACAGTTCGGTTATTTTTGTTTCCTTTTTTATTGCCCGTTTTACGATCGTCACGATGCGATTTTAATAGCTTCTACATAATGTATCTCACGCCGACGCGATGGCCTTTGTTCGGAGAAGAGAATTGTTGCGCATGCGGTTCTGTAAAGTTATCAAGTGTTTGCGCTAATATTCGTGTCAAAGCTCTTCGATTGCGAGAGCGATAAAATGATAGTAACTGCGTAGCAATTGAGGTATTTTTTACAAACATGACATTATTTTGCTTCCATATTAATATAATCTTTTAGAGCGGTTAATATTTTATAGCTGAGACGTATTGCAATATATTGTACGGATTATTTCAATTTCTGTTCGAGAAATACTGCTTCGAGTCCAAATTTATTAAAAAATCGCGCTTCGCAGAGCGCGAATTTTCATCTAGCCAATACAGATGTTTATTATTACTTCTCGCTTATTACGTCTCTTGATTGACAAAAATTACCGTTACGCACGCTGAATGCGTAATAAAGCTGACAATTCAGATTTTAATAAGCACATCACGCAAAGATGAGGATACCCCGCGATGGAAATTAAATTTCCGGATTCAGTCTTGTTAGCAGACGTTAGAGAGTAAAGTGGTAGTTGCTTATAATGACAATCTGTATGGCAAATATATGTCTCTATTACCGGTATTGTATTACGTAATATTAAATGCGTTGCGCGCATTCTAAGATACTCAACAATATTGCAGCGCGACTCGTCGCTTCCAAAACATAATGCCGTTCAGCTAAGCGTAATCGTATGTAGATAAATATTTCATGTCTGTAGTCACCTTTACATATAGACACACATACATACACGCATAATGCAATCCGAAGTAACTGCGTCTATTCAGACACGTATTAGAGAGAGAAAGAGAGAGAATCACGCATCTTCGATAATTCTCCACAAACTCTTATTTCTGTATTCAATTTTAAGACACAATCTTTTTCTAAATCTTTTGTATCAATATAAAAATTAATCTGCAATTAATTAATAAAACTATTGTATGCGTGCAATCTGATTACGCTCTTTAAAATATTCCTAATTGCGTTATCTCTTAATGATAGCTATCAGTTATATTAATGTTCAAAAACTCTAAGAAGAATTCTATATATTTCTATCCCAGATTTTAATTAAATCGATTATATTTCCTCAAAAATATTAAAAAGTACTTCTTAAAAAGTATTTAACGCTTTTTTTCTTACATCTAACTCTCGGCGCACAAAGAACTCGTCTTAATGTTGTATTATTCCTCTTCGAGAAACGCGATTCTCCAATGCTCTCTGAGCCTTCACAATTTATATGTCCCGTTTCGAGGGGGTCGCTTTGTTGATCGGATTTTTAGAGTCCCACTAGTCCCTCGTGTCGAAGATAACCCTCCGGCTTGCTTCATATCTGCGAATATTATCTGCGGCTTTATTCACGGAGCCTTGGCTCCGGCAATGATCTCGATGTCACGAAATGGCTCAATATTACGCTGCACCTGAGGGAGTATTTAGCCCCTCTGAATTATATTAAAAAAAAATTATAAACAAAATCAAAGTCACGATCGGTTTTAGTGCCGCAATGTACTAATCAATCGCGCTAATAAATAATAATGTGGTTAAAACTAACTTTTCAACTATCAAGATTAAATTGTAATTGTGTAATATAAAATTTAAATAATGTAAATTAAATTTGAAGGAGAGAAATAATCTAATTCTTATTATCTTAATATATAAATAATTCGCAATAAAAATTATGTAAATGGATCGAACAGATGCAAAAGTCTATTTTTATATGCTTTATATTGCACGGTCTGATTAAAATCTGTCTAACTGAAAAATTGTGGCGAGATATGCAAGGCATGTGAGGCATCGACATGTTTGTAAAAGCGTTACGGAAACAGCAGTTACAAAAGTATCTCACGTAATACTAGCTTAATCTATGCTAGAATAATCTGCAACGAGCGTAACAGTATGCACGCTACCGATCTGCAAATCAGGAAAACTACAGCTGGGCAGAATGAAAGCGGAAATGAAAGTCAAAGAACTCAATAAGATCCATCTTAACAAATGCAGAATCCGTGAACGATAATATGTGTGTCTTTATGAAATAAGATTTCTCTAAACTTATATTCCTAAGAAACACTTATTTCGGTATAGAAACATTTTATTTTATTTTAAATTATTTTAAATTATTTAACTATTATTTTATTAAATTGTAATATTTGAATGAAGGGAAATATCATTGACAAATTTTCATACATGTCAGACTTTGCCAGATGTCTGGCGAAGAGGGATATATCTTTACGATAAGAAATTTCAATCGAAAAAATATGAATGAAT